GCTCGCTTCTGCCAGACTGAGTCCGCTTCTGCGACTCCCCGTTCGTGTGCGATCATGCAGGTGCGAAAATTCCCTCGCACCTGCGACCACTTCCCACACTGCTCCAGCCCGCTTCTGCGATCAAAATGTCACTTCTGCGGTCGCGCACCTGCGACCAATTCCATCGCAGGTGCGATTGCACCAGAACTGGAAATTTTCCAGAATTCTCAATGTCCAAATTTCGATCCGTTAACCATCCGAAACTCACCCGAATCTCCCGGGACCTCAATCAAATATACCAACAAGTCCTAAAATATCATACGAACTTAGTCGATGCCTCAAACTACATTAAACAATGCTACAAACACGAATCGCACCCCAATTCAAATAATAAAAATTAACTAATTCCAACTTCTACATTTGATGCTGAAACCTATCAAATCAGCTGCGATTGAGTTTAAATTTTGCAAACAAGTCATAAATGACCTAACAAACCTATGAAAATTTTCAGAACTGGATTTCGATCCCGATATCAATAAAGTTAACTCCTGATCAAACTTCCAAACCTTTTATTTTCCCTATTTGTGCCATTTCAAGCCAAAATCAACTACGAACTTCCAAATAATTTTCCGGACATACTCCTAAGTCCAAAATCACCATACGGAGCTGTTGGAATCATCAAAACTCTATTCCGGAGTCGTTTACACATAAGTCAACATCCGATCAACTATTTCAACTTAAGTTTCATCCTTGAGACTAAGTATCTCAATTCATTCTGAAACCTCACCGGACCCGAACCAACTACTCCGGCAAGTTACATAACAACTGTAAAGCACAAAATGAGCAATAAATGGGACAATGGGATTGTAATATTCAAAATAAACGGCCAGGTCGTTACAGTTTTAACTTAGCAATTTTTTTTGATGTTGCACAATTGGTGTTCAAATTGAAATTGTCAATGAATAAACTTTGAAGGTATTTGACTCTCCACCATTGATAGCCATTAAAAAGTTTTAAATTCGAATTTTGAAAAACTATTATTTGTTTGGATTGGGTGTTGTTGCAAACAATTAAAAATATTATTTGAAGTTTATATCTCAATTTTAAGGGTGTTTGGTGAAGATTAGACTTGATTTTGGCTGAATTTTAGAGAGAAACTCGAAGAAGAAGAAGAAGAAGAAGAAGAAGACATGACATACAGTATACTTACGAAATTATATTAAAGTTGTATTAAAATTGTATGTAAATTGTATTTAAGTTGTATTATGTTGTAGTTATATATTATTTTATTTGAATATTATATGAAAGTTGAAAAAAATAGTTTTATAATGTATGAATCATTGTATGAAATGTGTATTTAAGTTATAAATACTATTTTTTTTTTTACATAAAGTTGTTGATATGTATCAAAATTGAATTAAAAGAGGAAATTTTGATTGAAATTTCAGAGAGTAAGAAGAACACACTACATACAAAATATATACAAATTATTTATAAAATACATACAGAAGACATATTGTATAAAATTTATATGAAAATTGTATGATGTTGTAGTTGTATTTAACTGAGTAAAAATGATGTATGAAAGTTGTAGATAAGTTATAAATAAGTTATATATTATATAATTAGTTGTATAAAATTTATTTTTAGTCTATATTTTGTGTAGATGTATCAAATTTGTACAAAATTTATTTTTAATTTGTATGCTGATGTACCATACAAATTTATCATCATCAAATTTATATTGTTGTTGCTGCCGGTGCTATATCGATAGAGATGGAGACGTTAGAATGTTTTACTTAAATTTCGAGTTTGTCTTTGATAAAAAATTTAAAATTTCTTTCAAAAGCTAAAGAGTAATTATACTTTTAAGAAAATTTGTACTAGATGCGTGCAATTAAATCTTCTTTAGTAACTCTAATTAATTTGACATTTATATGCTACAAAAAAAAAACGTAGTATGGTTCTTATGCTATAAACAACCTCAACTATGATCATTGATCATAACCACCTCCTGTTAGAAACTTGAACGAAGATCCGGAACAGATAACGCGCGGGCCACTCGACTGGGACCTTATAGATCTAGACGTTAGCTAAAAGGACTTTTTGATTTGTTGTTTCTTAGGCTGGTTCGATTATGGGTTTTGGTGTATTCACTTGATTAACCCTTTTTAAAATGTATGAATGAGCTACAGACACACATACACACACAAGTTAATGACAGAGAATAGGGAATATGAGAATAGAGAAAAAAGAAAAAGGGGTAATTAAAGTTCCTAGTTTAAAGCACTAATAATTGATAGTACATAGAGAGAGGCAGCTGAAAATAGGGAAAGAGAAAAGGAGAGAAAAAAAGGAAAAGGGTGTAATTTAATCCCCTAATTTAAGGCACTAATAATGGATTGTATACAAATTGTAAGCAAATCTTATTTAGGGCGGGTAATTTCAAAAACTGCGACAATCTTGGTAATAAGATTTCATATAGTGTATAAGAAAGAAAATATTCCTAAATATTTCGGTATGTCTGTATACCGAAATATCAAAAACTCAATACCGAGTATTGTACCGAAATACCGAAAAATCTATACCGAAGGAGGTAAAATAGATTTTTGTCGCGGTAGAGGTAAATATCTTCTTTTTGGTAAATCTGTGTATATCATATCAATCTATATTAATGTGTATATATTGTGCCTATCCTATGTATATCAGTGTATTAGTAATATGTTCATGATATACAAATGATATAGATGTTTTATACAATGTAGGAACGCACGCGGCCATGGCACGGCGTCGGACGCTGCAGGACATGACAGGGCGTGATCGGACACGACCATGGCACGGCGTCTGACGTTTCTAAACTCAATTTCAGCTATGAATTTTGACTTCAAACTAGTCTAAATCACCAATATTTTTCAGATTCTGCATATAGTCTCATTCAGGTGCTTCCAACAAATTCTAAGTACACCCACTGAAAAAGAACTAGTAACAAATTTCAAATTTCGAATTCAAGCTTCAAATGAGCCTTTTAATGATGGTACTTAAATACTTTCTTCAAGTATTCATCAAATTAAAGGGTATTAATGTCGGAATGGTTCGAGTTAAGGTGATGGGGTAGTTAGGATGGAATTTATGTTGTTTTTCTGGTGGTTGTTGGTTAGAAGTTTTCTTCGAGAAAGACGCGATGGTGTGATTGAAATGCATTTTTGGAAGCTTTAGGCTACCATTTATGTTCTTTTGGGCTACTGTGGCAGAAGGAATTTCTAGGCTAACTGGGTTTGGAGATAAACTGTAGATTTGTGGTATTTTCCCCAACTATTTGGAGCTTGTCTTTATGTAATTGGCTTGCGTGGCACTTCAAACATTTATACTGTATTTATCATTCGTAGATATACTTTCAGCAAATTTACATTCATAGCTATAATTGAATTTTATAGCAAATCCATGAAATAAGGTTATTTTTAACTAAAATAAGAGAGCAATAAGCTCTTGTAGCTTAGTTGGTTAGAGCGTCCGCTTAGTTAACGGAGGCTTTGAGTTCGTCTCTTAACAAGAAATATTTTATTTTCCTGTATTTCTATATTTCACCTTAGTTGTATTCGTTGCGCGAACAAATACAGTCAATACATGTTGTATCCATTGTATACACCCATGTATACAATTGATACATGTTGTATCCTTTATATACACTCTTGTATTTCGCGTTGGTTATATAATTGATACTTATTGTATTCGTTGCACAAATGAATACAACTGCGCGAAAAAATACAGTTGATGCACATTGTATTCGTTGCGCGAACGAATATAGTTGACACGGGTTGTATTCGTTGCACGTTTGAATACAAGTAATACAAGTTAGTAACAATTAAATAGTAGCTACGGATGATAATTAGGCAAATTATAGTTACTAGGTCTGGATTCAAATACCTTAGTAGGATATAGGAGAATTAGATACCACAACCACAACAACATCAACAAACCCAGTGTAATCCCATAAATGGGGTATGGATAAAGGGAAATTCGATACATAGCACATAATCAATTTCTGTATGTTTTGGTAATTTGATTGCGTTTGGAATTTAGGTCCTTATCATTTTTTAGGAATCGGATTACTATTATTATGTTATATAAGTTGGGCATTAAAACACGACTCAAAACCCTTTGGGGTTGCCCAGTTGGTTTGGAGGGTGGTTATTCATACAGATGACCTGAGATCGATTCCCCCCTCAATGCCTTCTGGGTTGAGCATGTCGCACAGCACTTGCCTATTGCGGTTTACATCCCCTGTGTGATTTGCAGGCGCCTATTGCGGTTTACATCCCCTGTGTGATTTGCAGGCTATTACAGAGGGGGAGGTTTACCCAATGCGCACAAAGTGCTCACCACAGAGTGAACACAGAGGTTGTGGAAGAGGTTGTAGCGGTTGCGAGTTTCCTCTTACAAAGAAAAAAAAAAAAAAAAAAAAAAAAAAAAAAAAAAAAAAAACGACTCAAAGACCTTATTTTCTAGCATTAATGGAGCTTCAAGTTTCTCTTACTTGTGTCTGTATTTCCTCCTTATAGACCTGCACATATCCTAAATGCACCACCTAAATATATGCTAAGTCCCTATCTCATTGTTGATTATTTCTAAAGGTATAGCAACTTACCACTTACCACTAGTCAATGTTATGCCTAATTTACTGTTTCTTAAGCTTCTAATGAAAATGTTGAAACTCTCCTCTTATTATATGTCCATGTTGGCATTGTGGCAAATTGTCACATTCCTCAAATATCAGATTACTAAACGTGATTTCTCAAAAAAAGGGAAGTACCAACTTTTTGTGAAGCTCTTTACCTGATGAAAATGAAATTGATGATGTTCTGTAGGAGACGTCAAAGCGATACTGTAGACCAGAAGACTGGTGGGTTCAGAAGTTATGGATTTGTTAATTTTGTAATGCTTATTTTGCCTTCTCATTCTTATATAAGCCTTCAGTAGGAGAGTTTTTCGAATAGTGAACAAAATTTTGGAAAACACAGAAGTTTAAAGACAATTCTGATATGTATAAACTACTCATTCTCCAGTTGTATTTACAACAAGCTTACAACAACAAATATTCAGATCAAATATGGTAAACACAAGGTCTTTATTTCTTGTTCTTTTTCTGGTTTTTAACTCCCAACCTAAAATACACACAAGAACTGCACGCGCTTTCTACTACTAGTAAATACTGATTTTGTTCACGCTTTTGCAGTAGCAATACTGATAATGTATTCAATCTCCTCTGCTACTTCTTTCATGGAAGGCCTGTTTTGTCTTCTTTCCTCTAAGCAACTCACAGCCAGAAAACCAAGTGCCTTCATCGTCTCCAACTGCAAGCTGCTCGCTCCCTCCTTCAACGCAGGATCAACAGCATCCATTATTCTCTCTTCCTCTACCAACCTTTGCACGTATACAGCTAAGTTCACATCATCCTGCGCTCGATCAAAGTCTATTGCTTTTTGAGATGTCAGGAGTTCCAACAAAACAACCCCAAAACTGTACACATCGCTCTTGTCTGTCAATTGATAGTTCCTGTAATACTCAGGATCGAGATAACCAAGGGTACCCTGAGCACAGGTGGAGACATGACTCAAGTCTGCATGCGCCAACCGTGAAAGGCCAAAGTCTGAGACCTTAGCATTCAACCTTTCGTCGAGCAAAATGTTGCTAGACTTGACATCGCGATGGTAAATGGGAGGAACTGCAGAGAAGTGCAGGTAAGCAAGTCCCTCTGCAGTTGCGTGGGCGACGCTGAGCCTGCAATCCCATGTAAGAAGTTTACGATTTGGACCTTGCAAATGATCACTGAGAGTTCCATTGGGAACATACTCGTAAACCAGCAATGGCTGTTCAAGCTCAACACAACAGCCTAAAATGCGCAAGAGGCACTTGTGGTTAACCTGACAAAGTATTCTAACCTCATTGAGAACTTGATCAGTGCCTTTAGTATTCCCCAGCTTGGCACACTTTACGGCAACATCCGTACCATCATCAAGTACACCTTTGTAAACTTCACCATAACCACCTGCACCAAGAAGGCGATCCCTGGAGAAATTGTTTGTTGCTTTCCTGATTTCTTTGCCTGTAAACAACTTGGCATTTTTTACACCCCCAGAGCTAAGAATATCTTCCCGTTCGCGAGCTAGCCGATCTTGGGCATCCTTAATTCGCTTGTGACGTCTGTACACAAAAACTGCAATTACAGCAGCAATCACTGCCACACCCAGACCTGATGTCAAACCTGCAAATCCAATAAACATTAAAGGTGGGGATACTAGTATTTTTAGCAAATATTTAACACCAAAAACAATATTGATCAACCAAGTTGAAAAAAAATGACATGAACCGTGTCAATGGTAAAAACCTTAGAGCTTAACTTATTTTTACACTATCACGTTACCTAAAAGATATCTAAGGGTAACTTCCATTACAGGTAGGATTTATAATTTTGAAAATAAAGCTTATTACTTGCTACAACAAGTAAAAGAGACTTGATAGTGTAAAAATCTTTTACTGTCAACATATATACATTAAAACTCAAAAGCTTACACCAAATTAATAGATGAATGTCATTCGCACATACACTTTCTCACTAATGTCTAATGTCAATAGGTAGATAAATGAATAAACTTTCAGTTATGATAAGCTATTTAAAGTCTCAAAAACAGAGTAATCTGATCATATTTACATGTAATTAAGAATCAGAAAAAGGTTAATTAAAGATCGTGTGCCCAAATATATAATACCTGCTATAAGTGCAGTGTGGTCGCTACCACAACCATCAGAATCTTCGCATGTCACATCTGCTTATCATAGAAGTCAGAAATAGTTAAAAACAGTGACACCTAAATGGAACCTCAGATTCAGATAATAAATTTATTTTTTATTGATAATAAGCACTAATTACCTTGGGCGCATAACGCGGCAATTGGGTCCCAATGAAACCCGGAGTGGCAGAAACATCTGCTGATACCTCCATTTGAATTCGGGTCGGGCGTACAAGTCGAGTCAGAATCACAGTCGGACTGAGCCGCACAAACTGGCTCCGGCGGCGAAACCCACTGCAATTCCAACCCTGGCTGCGGCCATCTACTCACGGGCAACGACGAATCCAAGTTCACGAAGCTCCGGTAAGCCCGACAACCAGATTCCCTGACCCGAATCATGTACGACGTGGACGATCCACCCGCCCTGAACGTACAGCAAATCGGCGCGTTCCGGCACGCGTCAACCGCTCCACCATTACCCGAACTACTCCCATTCACGTAAGCGTGGCACAAGCTCGCCGAGGAGCAATTCAGGGGTGACCTCAGCAAAGTTTCGGAACAGTTGAGGAAAACGATGGTGTTGCTGCTAGTGATGTTAAAAGGGAGAGAGGAATTCAGCTGAACCCCAATAGTGGAAATATCCTGTGTGATGCAGGTGTTGGGCAAGAACGGTGAGGGTTGAATGGTGAGTCTTTGGGTCTCAGGGGAAATGGAAGTGATGGGATAAGAATTGTTGAGAGTATCAAACAAGAGTTGGGTCGAAGTGCAACGTATCTTGTAAAATTGGTCACCACAATCGGGGCCAGTACTAAGAGGATAAGGGACAGGAGAAGAGCCACAATCGGCACAGCGGCGAGCAGAAAGTGCAGGGGCGGCGGCGCACATTAGCAGCAGCAGGGCTGCCGTGAAAATGCGCCGGAAAGTGGCTGCCATTTTTTGGAAGGAGATGAGTTGGAGGTTGTGGGCAGGTGAAAGGGGTTTGGATTTAAATGTAAATAGATTCTTCCTATTTTTCTTCTTTACTTCTTTTGGTCAATGAGGCACTACTATAATTTATTACTATTATTTTTCTTGGTAAGAATTGGAATTTGGAGGATAGTGGAGGAACAGGCAGAGATTTGGAAGATTCATTTTAAGATATTTTCATTTAAAGTTTGTAATATCCTAAAATTATTGACTTTGACTTTCTTGTAATACTTATTTTTCATTTTGCTTGTCTTTAAGGTTTTCTAATTAAAATGTTGGTAAATTTTGAAATCCTGCTCTTGCATTTCATGTGCCATTACTTATTGGTTTCTCCGTCCTCGTATTCTTTGGATTTTGAAATTATTCATTTTCCATTCTGTTATAGGTGAGAGCAAAAAGGAGACAATAAAAAATAGAAGTACTAATTTTATATATGTACCTACTTTTTAAAAAAAAAGTTTAATTAATATCTAAAGTAAGATAATTTCAAACAAGTTGTTTTTTCTTTGCTTTTCTTCCTCCTCCTCCTCCTCCTTAGCTACTATAAAAATAGAAGTGACGGTGGAATGTATTTGGTATTTGTGAGCAAGTTTTAAAGTGTTTTAAGGGTAGTGAGCCTCTATAGCGCTCCTTTCTTTGCTATTGCTTAGAGTTTCTTCTCCTTCTTCTTCTTAGTTACGAAATGAGTTTGCTAGATTGTAGTTATTTTGACAAATTGATGATTGGAGTTTGTTCTTTATGATATTTTCGAAGTTGTGTTTCAAATTTTAGCTCATTTAGAGTAGATTTGGAGTTTGAATCGTGTATTGCATTATTATAATTCGAAGAACAAGTATTTATTTCTGGACAATTTGCACTTCAGACTAAGGAGTCTTAAATGCATGCAAAATTTTGAAGTGCTCAAAATTTGGCTGTGTTTCAGACTAATTAGAAGTGTATCTTAAATGCATTTTGTGGGCCTAAGTAAGTTTGTTTTGATGATTGACAAATGAACTCAAGAATGAACCAGATTCATACACAGTATACACAGACACAAGCAGATTCGAGCACAAGGCATGCATGTGAAGGAGATAAGCTTAAGTGGTTGTATATGATATCTCTTGAACGAAAAGGTTGCATAATTGATAAGGATCAGGACTCCTTACTCGAAGAGAACTCTATCGTAGATAAGGGAAGAGTTAGAAGTTGAAAATAACTAGAACTCTTCTACCAAGGAAGAGTAAAGTATTAGACTTCTAGTTATTTCATATTCTACTAACTCTATATATTACAGGTATGCACAAACGCTGAAGTTAAATGTGCGTCGAGAGCAAAATATCAAGGAATTTTGCAATAAATTCTTGTGTGATTCAAGTGTGCGAATCTGAAGCTACATGAACCAGATAGAAGAACGTAACAAGTTCCAAGTGTCTGTCTTTTATTCTAGTTCATTTGTAGTAGGGCTTTTGAGTTGTACCTTTCATCTTTCTTTAGAAGCATTTGTACTAGGTACTCTAAGTGTAGTGTTCAAGTTAGAGTTAACTTGAAATTATCGCAACAGTCTGAAGCTGGTTGCCACAAAAGGTTAGAGGTAATCATTAGGTTTACAAGAGTTTTGTAAACGTTATTTTTGGCTCAGTGATTGTGTGAAGTGTCAGAAAAAATTCTACTGGGTAGTAGGTCGTGATTTTTTCACCTTTTGAGCCAAGTGTTTTTCACGTAAAAATACTTGTGTTCTTTACTTTCTGCATTTATTATTCCGCAACAGTAGTATAATAAACACATAGAAGAGCCAAGTCCTTCTATAATTTGTGCACGTGAAAAATTGAACACCACACAAATCACCTCTTCCCCCCCTCCCCCTCCCTCCTCTTGTGTGGTATTGAAGTATAAAACAACAATTGGTATCAGAGCAGGTTATCCTTGAAGAGGCTAACACCTTAGGAGAAGATCAAGATGAGTGCACCACTTGAAAATTAGGAAGGGCAATCCACTGCAAGGCCACCACTCTTTAATGGCCAGTACTTAGGGGTGTACATAAAAACCCGTAAAATCGAACCAAACCGAAGACCAAACCAAACCGATCAAAAAAATCGATACTTTTTAGGTTTGGTTTGGTTTTGGTTTAGAATTTAAAAATCGATCAAATTTGGTTTGGTTTTGATTTTAATAAAAAAATAACCTAAAAAAATCGAACCAAAACGACTATAGAAGTAGCTATTTAAATTTATTATTACACTTATATACATATATGTATATTTTTATATAAAGTTTCTAAATTTTTATGGTACATATTAGTCGTTTGTATTTTTATTCTAGTTTTTTGCTATTATAATAATCTAATTCTTTGGTTTTACATTCTAGTTTGATTGGTAGTTTTCTTTTGCTAAGTACAAGAATTTATTTTATGTTAAAAATAATTAATTTTTAATTGAGTACTTAAATTATTCATCACTATTTGATTCAATTATCATCAATATATCTTGGTAAATGATAGATTTCTCAAAGAGCAATTGGTTTGATAGTGTTAAATTAATAATGTAGTCTCCGAAATATGTGTTTGGTAGTGTATGTCTCATTTTTAACGAAAAAATGATAAATAACCGAAAATCTAAAAACCCGACAAAAACCGACAAAAATCGAATTGATAAAAAATCGACTTAATTGGTTTGGTTTGGTTCTAATATTTGAAGAATTGACTCACTTGGTTTGGCTTCTTTTTAGGGAAAAACTAATCCAAACCGAACCATGGACACCCCTACCAGTACTACTCTTGGTGGAAGAACATGATGAGAGATCACATACAGGGAGAAGACTACGCGCTATGGGATATTGTCACTGATGGTCCATTGGCCACTTTGAAGAAAAATATTGAAGGAGTAGATGTGCCAAAGACAAGAGCTGATTACAATGTTGAGGATCTGAAGAAATGGGAAAAGAATGCCAAAGCCAAGAAATGACTTATTTGTGGACTTGGTCCAGATGAGTACAGCAAAATCCAAGGCTGTTCCACTGCTAAGAAAATTTTGGACACACTATAAGTGGCCCATGAAGGAACAACTCAGGTGAAGAGATCAAGAGGATCTCTACTGTACTCTCAGTATGAGAACTTTGTTATGAAGGATGGAGAAACCATTCAGGAGATGTACACAAGGTTCAAAACCTTGATAAATGAACTAAAATCTCTTGGAAGGATTATCCCTGAAGAAGAAAGAGTTGAGAATATACTTACTAGGGTCTTGCCTATCACTTGGGAAAGTAAGATCACTACCATCCAGGAATAAAAGAATATTGCCACTCTCCCACTAGATGAATTGGTTGGGAATCTCACTGCCTATGAACTTAGGAGACAAACCATGAAAATGGATGTAGCTAAGAAGGAAATGAGCTTCGCACTCAGAGTCATTGAAGGTTCTGATCTGAAAGATGATGAAATGGCTATTATCACTAAATACTTCAAGAAGTACCTAAGGAGAGGAAAGGGTTCTGCAAGAAGTGAAAGCTACAACAAGGCAAAAGCTCCTGAGAAGCAAATCAATGATGGCTGCTACAAGTATGGAAAGACTGATCACATGATCAAAAACTGTCATTTGTGGGAAGTTAAATGGAACAAAAAAGAGCTGAAAGAAGGAATAGGAAGAAAGAACAGGTTCAACCCAAGAAAAGTAACAACAAAGAATCAACCAAGGCTATGGTTGCTTCTTGGGGAGAAAGCTCAGATGAAAGCTCAGATGATGATGATGATGAATTATGACCATTGGAGAATCTGATGAAGAAACTCAGGTAAGTGTTTTTCATCTCAAAGACAAGATTAATTTTTTGTCTAAAGAAAGGTTATATGAGTTACTACTAGAGCTAATTGATGAGTCTGAGGGTGTGAATAATGAAAAGGAACAGTTGTCAAAATAATGTGTGATTTTGAAAGCTAAGTGCAAAAACCTGAAACTTAGGGCTTGTAAAACTGAAAGTGAAAATGCTGTGTTGAAGAACCAGGTTCATGCACTTGACACAACTGTTCTAGAACTTAGATCTGGAAATATAAAATTAAAATTAGGAACATGCAAAAAGATAACTGATCACACACAACTTACTTTAGAAGAAAATGTAAGAAAAATGAAAGATGAGTTGTATAAGAAGGATGAACAGGTAAGAGTCCTAAAGGAGGATCTGAACAAGGTCAAGCACGAGCTAGACAAAACCTGTAAATGGAACAAGTCCTCGGATGCACTTTCATGGATATAAGAACATCACAATAGCAACAGAAGAGGACTTGGCTTTGTGAACTCTGCACCTACGTGGGATCCCAAAAGCAAGTACCTCACGCTCCCTAAGAACAGGATTTGCACACACTGTGATAACACTGGTCACTATAAGAGTGAATGAGTGAATGCACTGCAAAAGAGAAAGCAAGTCAAAAGAACAAAACTTTTGTTCTAGGGAAAAATAGGCTGCCAAGTTGGGCTAAAGAGAATTTGATTTATCTTTTTGCCTATAGAAAGAGACCCAAACTAGCTTGGGTTCCTAATACTAACCCCTGATTTCATTTTTGCAGGTCTAAGTGAAGAGAAGCAGCCATATATGGTACATGGATAGTGGTTGTTCTAAGCATATGACAGGAAGCAAGAACAAGTTCCTTTCACTTAAGGACCTTAAAGGGGTAATGTCTCCTTTGAAAACAAAAAGAAAGGTGAGATCATTGGGGTTGGAAAGGTAGGTAAGACTGATTCTCACTCTATTAAGAATATCTACTTGATAGATGGACTGAAGTATAGTATGATAAGTGTATCACAATTGTGTGATAGAGGTAACATGGTAGCCATCACCTCCACAAAATGTTTTGTGATTAATCTTACCACGGATATGATAGTTTTGCAAGGAAAAAGAGTGAACAACATATATGTTGTAGATCTGTCCACACTTTCAAATAATGAACTCACTTGCTTAAGTGTGTTGGATAATGATCCCCTCCTTTGGCACAAGAGACTTGGACATGCCAGTCTAAGCCAACTCAACAAATTAGTCTCTAAGGACTTGGTGATAGGGTTGCCTAACATTAAGTTCAAGGAAGATAAAGTTTGTGAGGCTTGTGTAAGGG